GACGAGTCGCCGGACCTGCAGGGCCACTTTAAGTTTCCTCCAGAACTGCAGTGAAAATGCTCTTGCTTGTGCTTTTGGACTCTTCGTACATATGTGATATCTTCCCACATTTTGATATGAGACGAAACTTGTGAAGATGGAAGCTCACGCCGTCCACGACCACAATCATATCACTTGGCAATCCCGCTTTGCAAAACCAGTCATTGCCTTGTCTGCAAAACTCAGAAACCTTCCCAGCTGGAGCCATGACTGAGGTGGGAAGAGAGAACCTTTACTCTCTCTCTCTAGGAAAATAAGAGCTTCATGAAATGGGGTGGAGAGGCTTGAGTTATGGAGATAAACCAGACCTTCTGGCAGACCCGTAAGCTTGTTGCGGATAACCTTTGCGTTCACGGCTCGAAGACGATCTGGGCATGCAATATTCCGAAGCGTAGCTGTCGGTAGCAGCATGGTCGTTGGTGGCGTCGCCAGGAGAATCCGGATTATCGGGGATGAGATCTGAACCCGACCTGGCATAGTGGGTTAACTTGCCCATACTAGCGATTTTCCTGATGGAGCCGTCGGTCAGGCGAACGCCGAAGAGGGACCTGGCGCGGGAGCTGGAGTTGCTCTTTTGAGGCTAAGTTGATGGAGGCGACTCTCTTTGAAGTGTCGCAGTTGACACCGTCCCAGCTGCAGTAGGCGGTGCTTGTTGACTAGCCTTTGGGTGTGGGGTTGAGACACTCATATATTATATATATATATTTTTTCTTCTTTTTTTTTTTTTTTTTTTTTTTTTGTAAATACATAAACATATGTATTCATCATTTTTTTTTTAATAAAATTAACTTTCTTTAATAAAACATTTATTTATATTTTGATGTGATTGAACTCGAAATTTTGAATATTCAAGCTGCCTACGTACCCCTCCAAAGAAGAGATCAAGTCCTAACGTAGTTCAAATACATATATTTTTTTTTTGTGCCGTTTGCAATTTTAACTCATGCAGGCAAAGAGTGTTGGTGTCGTTTGCAGTTTCAGCTCGTGCAGACCAGGAGCGTTGTGCCATGCAGTTTAGGCTCGTGTAGGCGAGGAGCGTTGTGTCTTGCAGTTTAGGCTCTTGCAGACAAGGAGCTTTGTGTCCTACAGTTTAGGCTCGTGCGGACAAGGAGCTTTGTGTCCTACAGTTTAGGCTCGTGCGGACAAGGAGCTTTGGTTCGTCAAGCGATTTGAGAGAGTCGTTCCTCGCAATCTTCATAGCAAGGAGCCTTGACTGAGTAGTTGAAGAAGTCTTCTGGGAAGATGTCACACATCGTGATGGGGATGGATGATCTTCACGTCAAAGTTTCATTATCTCCAACACTTTCACATTGTTCTAGAGGTGAACAGGAGCTGTTTTGCCCCATTTCCCATTTGTGAGCTTGTGGAGAAGACATATGCTTTTTGTGCAATTTCTTCGGAGTGACATAAGTCCATCCTTCAGCTTCACTCGGCTTGACTGGCATGTTTTTGGAGCATGCCCCCAGCGATTGAGGTGAAAATTTTGAGTTGACAGAGCCGGAAGTGACGTCTTCTTCCAGGATTTTGTCTTCTTTGTCTTCTCGGGCCTTCTCTTCAGTGCGGTCCTCTTGGGTTTGTTGCCGTGAAGATTGGCCAGTGTAGATGATGGTGCACCTCCTTACCTTCAGTGGTCCTTTTGTGTCGACTTCCAAAGTTGCTTGGCGCTTCATCCTTGAAAGAATCAAGCTTTGAACATCGTTTTTTCCTGCTAGACTGTCGAGCTTCTCTCCCTTTGGCGTTGTCTTCCTGTTTCTAGAAGGCTTCTTAGTTTCTTCAAGTCTGTCCAAAGCCGACCGTTGCGGAGGAGATCTAGCTGTGCCGCTTTGTTTCTTGGGCTTTGATAACCTTTCAAAGACTGATCTTTGCGGTGTTGGCGTCTCAAGCCTTTTGAAGACAGAAGTTTGGTCTCGACCATTGATGCGATCAAGTGCTGCAATTCTAGGTTTTGAATAATTCAGTCTTTCGAAGACTGAAGTTCGAGGGGCGGGTTTAGGCTCCTCTTTTGGCCTTGTGGCTTGTGGTCTTGGCTTCCTCGTTTTTTTGTAGGTCACCGTCCGCCATTTCTTATCACCACTAGATGCACCTTGGTTGCTTGCCCCCGGTGATGGTTGTGTAGGAGGTGCCATGTGACTTGAACATTGACGGGAATGATCATGCATGCTTCGGAGATGCACAGGATCGAGTGATTCAAACACGATAGTAGTAGTGTGTGCCGCCACCGTGTCTTCGAGGTCAAGCTCGATTTCCCCTTGCTGTGCTAGCTTCAGGATGAGATCTTTCAGTACGAAGCACTTTTCCGTTGGATGACTGATGAAGCGATGGAATTTACAGTATCTTGGGTTGTCGGTACGATTCATCTCTTCCGGCCGTCTGCACTCAGGCAAACTGATCACCTTCTTGTCCAACAGGTCATCCAGCATGGCAACTACATCAGAGTCGGGGAATGGATAAATCTTCTCCTCAAGCTCCTTCAAAGTGCGTCTACGCATCTCTTGATCACGAAAAGCTTCGGTTTGAATCGCCTTGCCTCGTGTGGAGATTTTGACGGGAGCTGTGTTGACCGTCATCGCTTCCTTGGTGGGTTTCCATGCGGCCTTTTCCACCTTTGTCCCAAGAACTTTGTCGTTCTTGTAGTCGGCGATCGGTTCTTTCTTCCCATGATGGGCGATGCTCAACTCCATGTCATGGGCGCGAGTAGCCAATTCCTCGAAGGTCCGCGGTTTAATGCCTTGAAGGATGTATTGCAAACCCCATTGCATGCCTTGGATGCACATCTCGATTGAAGAAATCTCGGAGAGTCTGTCCTTACAGTCGAGGCTTAGATTACGCCATCGGTTGATGTAGTCCATGACTGGTTCTTCCTTCCATTGCTTCGTGCTCGTCAACTCTAGCATGCTCACAGTGCGGCGGGTGCTATAGAAGCGGTTGAGGAATTCCCGCTCTAATTGTTCCCAACTGTTGATGGACTCAGGTTCTAGGTCTGTATACCACTCAAAGGCGTTTCCTTTCAGCGAGCGCACAAACTGCTTGGCGAGGTAATCCCCTTCGGTTCCTGCGTTGTTGCAAGTTTCAACGAAGTGGGCAACATGCTGCTTTGGGTTTCCTTTTCCATCAAACTGCATGAACTTTGGTGGTTGATAACCCCTTGGCATCCTTAGGGCGTCAATCTTCTTGGAATAGGGCTTCGAGTAGAACAAGGAGGTATGTGAGCTCCCTTCGTACTGTGCCTTGATGGTGTTGGTGATCATCTCCTGCAGCTGCTGGATAGAAAGAGATCCCATGAGTGCCGCTGCTTGGTCTGGCTCCGGCTTCCCATCGATTTTCTTCACCGGGGGTTCTTCGTCTCTGCCAGCTCCTCCCTTTAGTGGATCATCCTCTAGGTCGGGTTTATCGCCGTCCTGCGCCTCCAGTCGGTTGACTAGTGCTGCAATTTGCAAGTCTTTTTCTTCCACGGTTCGGGTTAGCCTTGCGATTGCTTCATTCATTTGAGCCAGCTGCTCATCGATTGAAGTTGCTCCAATGGTCATGACTTGCATGGCTGAACTGTTGCTTGAATCAGCATCGGAGAGCATGGATTCGGAGTATTTCCTTGGGCTTTCCCCCTTTGGTGCCCTTAGTGAGGCTAAGGTGATCAAAGGCTCGTGCCTTGGGTGTTTTTGTTCCCTTGGCAGAGTTGATGCAGAGGTGAAAGAGGCGGCAGAAGTAGCTCTTGCCATGCTTCGAGTCGTGATGCCCAAAGTGACACCAGTTGCGACGAGGACGCTTTTGTTCTTTGCGCCGGTTGCGGGAACAGTTTGAGCCTTCCTTGATGCCATTAATTTTGGAAGCGCGCTTGAATTTCTTGAACGGAGAAAGAGATGAGAGGCAAAGATTGTCCCACTGGGCGTGCCAATTTGTGAACACGGAAAATTCCTGAAACGAAAGAGACAAGAACGACGCGCACAAACAAATATTGTATTTAGATGATTTTGGGTTACAATCTCTCTCTATTTTGATCCTCTGATTCGATCTCCGTAAGGTGTTGATTTGTGGATGTTTCGTTGATCCAAGGGCCGTTGGGGCTTGATCTTGGATGAACTGTTGGAAGTTTCTTCAAAGGGCCGTGGGCTTGATCTTTGAAGGTGGATTTGAGCGGATCTTCAAGGAGCCGTTGGGGCTTGATCTTGAAGAAACAGTGATGAACAGATCTTCAAGGGGCTTTTGGGCTTGATCTTGAAGAAACAGTGATGAACAGATCTTCAAAGGGGCTTTTGGGCTTGATCTTTGAAGAATTGTTGAACGGATCTCCAAGGGCTTTTGGGCTTGATCTTGAAGAACGATGATGAACGGATCTTCAAGGGGCTTTTGGGCTTGATCTTGAAGAACGGTTGGATGTGTGGATTTGTCGACGTTGTTGATCCAAAGGGCCGTTGGGGCTTGATCTTGGATGAACGGATGATGAACGATGGTGCTTTCTTCAAGGGCCGTCGGGGCTTGATCTTGAATTGGTGGATGGTTGATCCAAGGGGCCGTCGGGGCTTGATCTTGGAAGAACGATGAACGAAGGACGAAGAGAGCTTTCTTGATTCTTCGGGAACCTGGATGCTTGAGAGTTTCGGAGTTTCAGAGCTTCAGAGCTTCAAGGTGTAATATGAATTCGTTCCCCAAAATGAATGAAATGGGCTTGTATTTATAGAATTTTCCAAGGCCTAATTTTGAATATAATATCCCAGATGAAATAAGTCGTTTCTGCCAGGTGTTGACACGTGTCCTATTTGATGACTTTTCCAACTCATTTCAATTTTCGTTGAGTCACACGCTACGTGTAAAATTTATGTAATACATGAGCGTTGACACTTTGATTTATCGCTCAACATTTATTTACCGAAATTTCGATGTCTACAGTTTCATTCACCAGCATTATAGTTTTAAAGAAGAAAATTAAACCCTTTTTTGCCAGGTTTAATATATATATATATAGAAATGGAATAGCAACGGCTGTTATTTTATATATAGAAATAACGCGTGTATGGTTATAGCAGTTGCTATTCCATATAGCCTCAATCTTTCAACATGAAAATGGAATAGCAACAGCTCTAAGAGCAATTTTTCTGCGTATGGTTATACCAGTAGATTCAGTCATGTCTAAATCCTCCCCACTTGCTCCACCAGGCAACGTCCAGTCGAACTTGTGCACGATATTTGCCAACGCAATCTCATTGACAGCCATGGCAAACTGAATTCCCGGACAGACCCTCCTACCAGCACCAAACGGAATTAACTGAAAGTCATTCCCTTTATAATCTATCTCACTATTCAAGAACCTTTCTGGCTCAAACTCCTCTGGTTTTTCATATAGTTTGGGATCTCTTCCAATTTGCCATGCATTGATCATAACGTGTGTCTTGGCCTTAATTTTGTAACCACCTATTTCCACGTCTTGGGCCGCAATCCTGGGCACTAGTAATGGAAGTGGTGGATGTAGGCGAAGAGTCTCCTTGATCACCGCCTTCAAGTAGTGCATTCCAATCAAATCATCTTCTGTTATGTGTTCTCCCTTTCGACCTATTTCTCGTACCTCATTCTGCAACTTTTTCATGACCCTAGGATGCCTTAAAAGCTCAGTCATTGTCCACTCCAGGACCGTATATGTGGTATCAGTGCCACCAGCAAACATATCCTGCAACAGTTAATATTATTGATTAAGGTATTTGAAATACATATAATTACATAGAGGAAGAATTGTGTTAGTTTTAAAGGAAAATAAGCAGCAGGAAGCAAGACAACTTATCGGATTTGATTTACTACTTGTAACAGTATGTGATTTAACACCGAAGTATTGGATTTTCAGCTGTTTAATATCTAATATATGTACGAATCAGTTTAGTTAATAGCTTTCTAACAGAAACACACAGAGAGAGAGAGAGAGAGAGAGAGAGATGATTACCAAGATGAGAGCCTTAATACTAACTGTCTCAAGAGGAAAACCTGCCAAGTTTGCTTTCTGAAATGCAAGCAAAACATCGACAAAATCCAGTTGGTCATCATCTCCACTCCCTGAACTCTGACCCATATGCTCTTGGACCACTTTATCTAAAAAGTCATCAAACTTCTTAGCCACCTTGTCGAACCTGGCTTCCAAACCGTTGACACGGCTCAACCAAGAAAGCCATGGGATATAGTCCCCAATGTTAGTAGTTCCCAATAACTCATTGAACTCCCCCAAAAGTCCCGCAAACTTCATCCCACCTTCACCACTGTACTTCCTCCCCAGAGCGACTCTACATACAACATCATTAGTAAGCCTCACAAACATTTCGCTTAAATTCAAAACTGATGGTGATGACTTCATTATGTTGCTGATCATGGTTTTGGTTTCCTCTTCTCTGACAAAGCGAAAAGAGCGAACCCTTTTGTTGCTCAAAAGATTTATGACACATATGCTTTTGACCTGCCTCCAATACTCACCATAAGGAGCAGATGCAACGTCTTTGAAGTTGTAGAGAAGCTTCTCAAAGTTGGTGGACTTGGGTCGATCAGAAAATGTGAGGTCATGGGTATTCATGATCTCTCGAGCTTCCTGAGCTGAAGAGACAACAAGGACTGGGACATGTCCGAAGTGAAGAAGCATGAGAGGGCCATGGCGTTGAGATAATTTTTGCAGTGAGCGATGTGGGTACAAGTCTATTTGGTGAAAGTTTCCGATGATAGGGAGCTTCGACGGAGAAGGCGGTGATGAGGTTTTGTTGGAGGTTGTGGTGGAGGAGTACCATCTGTATATGAGAATGGTGAAAATGGCCAGAAGTGTGAAGGCCAAAGGTTGCAAAAAGGAGGTGGTTTCATTCACCAGCATCATTGTCCGACCTGGGAAAAGAAAATGTGTTTTTGTGTATGTATTCTCTGCGCTTGTGTATTTATATAGTCCTACTTTGTGGGGTAGGTGGCTTTCTTTTTCTAGCAGATTTGCCATAGGTTGCTCCATTTGTATCTTCCAACGTAAATTTCATTTTCATTACCTTGCTTTCTATCTTCTTTTCCTTTGACTCACTTAGTTATTGGTTTCTATGTCATCTTATATTTTCTTTGAAATAATCATAACAAAAAAAATAAAAAACACAAGAATAGTATACAAGGTAGTGTATAGGACATCTTTAAGACAAAAGTTTTCAAATTGTTGTCGACCACTAGGTATGATGAGCTAAAACTTCGTAAGATTCACATAATCTGCAGCTTTGGTATGATGAGCTAAAACTTGGTAAGATTTACATTGTAACGACCCATCCCCAGTTATTACGGTTTTTATAATTCTAAAGTGTGAATTTACGAAAATGCCATTCGAGGCAAAAACGTTGACTTTTGTTGATCACCTTGTCGTGTCACGTAAGATCCGTCTCCTTGGCGTATCCTTGTAGTATTCGTTGCTACGAACGTGTGGACGCAAGTGGAATCTGTTGATGCACAAGATGTATCCATGTGCCTCTCTTTTGCTTTCTCTTTATTTATTTATTTATTTGCGTTGTCCGAGGGCCTTTCTATTTGTTGGATAAGACCGAATCTTGAAGCTTTTTCTGGATGGACGAAATGTTGGAAACCTTCTTTTCGGATTTGGACTCCAGTTTCTTAATTGTGGCGGGCAGATGGCAGACAGTCATCATATCATTAATAATAAAGAAAATTTATTATTAACTTATCTTCTGCCTGTCTTCCACTACTGTCTTCCTCATGTGCGCTCATCTTGAATGCCCGTTTCTTTTGTGGAGGATGAACAAAGTTTGATGCGGCAGATACTGTAGTTTTAACATTTTGCAAAGTATCCTTCAAAAGCTCAGCATTCCCCAAATCCAAGCTCAATCTACGATCAAAAGAAGCTCTTCTGCTCTCATCAATCATGGGTTGCTGCAATGCTCGACCCACAATCACTACTACAATATAGGCTATCACCGGCGGACCAAAAACCGACAAGAAACCCCGATTTCTGTCGGAAATTTGGCAAAAATCCGACATTAAACACTGCAATGTCGGATTGGAATAGCGACGCCATTGCTACCGTCACTAAAGGGCTTCAGCGTCGCTTTGTTCGCTTAATCCGCCACTACGCAGCGTCGGTTTAAAGCGACGCTGATGTTAACGTCGGTTTAAAGCGACGCTAGTTAACAATTAACTAAATAAAATATGCAAACTAGTGACGGTTTAAAGCGACGTTAGAGAACAATTAAATAAATAAAATATGCAAACTAGTGACGGTTTAAAGCGACACCACCTTTGATAATAATAATTAAAAAAAAAGTCGAAATCTGTTTCTGTATTCGTTCTCAAATAATTATAACTCAAAAAAATTATATAATCGAAATAATAAATTTCAATTTTAGGCCAAAAAAAACAATAATAAAAATAATTCAAAAGAAAAATAGTGCCATAATATACAAATGTTTTACATCTAACATTCCATATAATTTACAAAAATTCATCCTCCATGCTTTCCTGTGCTTGCCTTTGTCGAAGACCACAGATTTTGTAGCTCCATAGTGCCATATATAATACTAGCAACTCCATACTGCAATGCTTGCCATCAGATCAGTGCTCCAATACTTTACTACTTCAACATTAGGGCTCTAATCTCTATAGATTAAACTCAGGTTTTATACCTTTAAAAAATTATGGATCTGCGATTTCCAGTGTCCTTGCTCTTCAGATCCAACATGCATAAATACAAAAAAAAAAAACAATTAAAAACCAAGAAACAAAAATAAATTTTCAATTTAAGCATAAAACTATTTAGAATACAAAATAGAAACTAAAATTAATAATCATAATAATTTAAAAATGAACCACCTTCAAGATCTTCCTCCTCGAATTGGAGTTCTTCAAAATGTTGATCTTTAAACTGGTGATCCAAAGCAAACGGGGAAGGAGTTGAGGAAAAACTAAAAAGGAGGAAGAAGGGGACGCACATATGAAATGGGGAAGGAGAAGAAGAAATTCTGAAATTGGGGGAGAAATGAAAGCACGGTTGAAATGGGAAAGATAAGGGTTTAAATATGGGTACTTAGTTTGCGTCCGTTAAAACCGACGCAAACGTCTGACACATTTTTTGAAATTCACATAGCGTCGCTTTAATGAAACTCGCGTCGCTTTAATCAAACTCGCGTCGCTTTAATCAAACTAGCGTCGCTTTAAACCGACACAAACTTCTGACACTTTTTGAAATTCACATAGCGTCGCTTTAATGAAACTTGCGTCGCTTTAATGAAACTAGCGTCGCTTTAATGAAACTAGCGTCGCTTTTAACCGACGCCAACTTCTGACACACTTTTTGAAATTCACATAGCGTCGCTTTAATGACACTAGCGTCGGTTAAAACCGACACTAAGTCCTCCATCCATTCAAACAAGCGGGAAATTTCCCGCCTAATATTTCAAATACTATAATTTTATATATATTAATTTTATAACCCTAAAAAATACTATAATAATTATATATATTAATGTAACAATTTTATACCCCTAAAAACTATAATAATTATATATATATATATATATTAAATTAAATTTTAAAAATTGGTGACCATTGGATCAGTTTAAATATACATACCATTCAATTTCTTTAAGTGTTATACATACAAAATAAATAAATTTAAATCTACTTAATAAATATATATATACTTTCATTAAGTATAACATAAGATTTTGTGGTATCCACTTGTGTGAATATTTTAATTTGAAGATCGAATTCATTCATTATATTCATATTGGGTCAATGAGTGTAGCTGTAAAAAATCATCAAAATCGGAGTTAAAATAACCGTTAAATCGTGATTTTTCGTTTATAACCGTCGAAAAGCTTTGTCTCGTTACTTGATCTCTGAATGTTTGTTTTTTGTGATTTTTTGCTGATGTGATCTCGAAGCATATGCAAACACGTTTGACGGTTGGGATCGTTGAAATTAGTTTCGGAGAATTCGTATCCCATCAAAACAATAGATTGACTAACATTTAGAGTTTATTTATACTTTCATTAAGTATAACATAAGATTTTGTGGTATCCACTTGTGTAAATATTTTAAATTGAAGATCGAATTCATTCATTCTATTCATATTGGGTCAAGGAATGTAGCTGTAAAAAATCATCAAAATCGGAGTTAAAATAACCGTTAAATCGTGATTTTTCGTTTATAACCGTCGAAAAGCTTTGTCCCGTTACTTGATCTCTGAATGTTTGTTTTTTGTGATTTTTTGCTGATGTGATCTCGAAGCATATGCAAACAAGTTTGACGGTTGGGATCGTTGAAATTAGTTTCGGAGAATTCGTATCCCATCAAAACAATAGATTGACTAACACTTAGAATTTATTTATGCTTTCATTAAGTATAACATAAGATTTTGTGGTATCTACTTGTGTAAATATTTTAATTTGAAGATCGAATTCATTCATTGTATTCATATAGGGTCAAGGAGTGTAGCTGTAAAAAATCATCAAAATCAGAGTTAAAATAACCGTTAAATCGTGATTTTTCGTTTATAACCGTTGAAAAGCTTTGTCCCGTTACTTGATCTCTGAATGTTTGTTTTTTGTGATTTTTTGCTGATGTGATATCGAAGCATATGCAAACAAGTTTGACGGTTGGGATCGTTCAAATTAGTTTCGGAGAATTCGTATCCCATCAAAACAATAGATTGACTAACACTTAGAATTTATTTATACTTTCATTAAGTATAACATAAGATTTTGTGGTATCTACTTGTGTAAATATTTTAATTTGAAGATCGAATTCATTCATTCTATTCATATAGGGTCAAGGAGTGTAGCTGTAAAAAATCATCAAAATCGGAGTTAAAATAACCGTTAAATCGTGATTTTTCGTTTATAACCGTCGAAAAGCTTTGTCCTGTTACTTGATATCTGAATGTTTGTTTTTTGTGATTTTTTGCTGATGTGATCTCGAAGCATATGCAAACAAGTTTGACGGTTGGGATCGTTGAAATTAGTTTCGGAGAATTCGTATCCCATCAAAACAATAGATTGACTAACACTTAGAGTTTATTTATACTTTCATTAAGTATAACATAAGATTTTATAGTATCCACTTGTGTAAATATTTTAAATTGAAGATCGAATTCATTCATTCTATTCATATAGGGTCAAGGAATGTAGCTGTAAAAAATCATCAAAATCGAAGTTAAAATAACCGTTAAATCGTGATTTTTCGTTTATAACCGTCGAAAAGCTTTGTCCCGTTACTTGATCTCTGAATGTTTGTTTTTTGTGATTTTTTGCTGATGTGATATCGAAGCATATGCAAACAAGTTTGACGATTGGGATCGTTGAAATTAGTTTCGGAGAATTTGTATCCCATCAAAACAATAGATTGACTAACACTTAGAGTTTATTTATACTTTCATTAAGTATAACATAAGATTTTGTGGTATCCACTTGTGTAAATATTTTAATTTGAAGATCGAATCCATTCATTGTATTCATATAGGGTCAAGGAGTGTAGCTGTAAAAAATCATCAAAATCGAAGTTAAAATAACCGTTAAATCGTGATTTTTCGTTTATAACTGTCAAAATTAGTTTCATAGAATTCGTATCCAATCAAGTTCAATGGTGTGTATATATATATATATATATTAAGTAGATTTAAATTTATTTATTTTGTATGTATAACACTTAAGAAATTGAATCGTATGTATATTTAAGCCAATCCAATGATCACCAATTTTTTAAAATTTAATTTAATATATATATATATAATTATTATAGTTTTTAGGGATATAAAATTTAATTTAATATATATATAATTTAATATATATATATATATACACACTTTATGTCGCTTAAAAGCGACACTAGTATATAAAAATTATTAAAATAATGTTTACGTCGGTTTAAAAGCGACACTAGTATTT